GTTCTCAGGCCCCACCTCTGAACCTCCCACCCTTTGCAGACCTAGAGATTCATTCATTTGTTTATCCATTCATTCATTCCGCACATAGTTCTCTGGCTCTGCTGCATTTCTCGGCCGGGTGCCGGGGTGTAAGCAGAGGATGTAACAGCCAGGATATGTCCCAGCCCTCTGCACATGTAAACAACACACGCGATGGTGATATGGGATTTAGAAGCTGGCACGGGCTATGGGCAAAACTACAAGGCAAATGGGTGTGCAGTGTTGCTGGCCTCGGGGTGGGGGATGGATGAGGACGTGGCTTGTGAGCTGAGGACTGAAGGAGGTGAGGGGTGAGCTCAGGACATCTGGGGGACAGGCATTGCAGGCAGAGGACACAGCCTATGCAAAGGCCCTGGGGCAGGACTGTGCCTGGATTGTTGGAGGAAGAGGGAGGAGGCTCGTGGGGCTGGAGCAGTGAAGAGGGGAGTGGGGGGAGGGGACGGGGCGGGACTGCAGGGCCTGGTGGGCTGTAGAGAGGACTTGGGCTTTTTCCCCAAGGGAGGTGGGAGCCATGGAGGGCTGTGGGCAGAGGAGGAGCGGGACCTGAGTTAGGGACGCACAGGCGCCTTCTGGCTGCTGTGGGGAGGACAGACTGTGGGACGCTCAGAGGGTAGCAGGGTGACCAGGGTGGAGGGGACTAGGTTTGTCTCGATGATGGGATCAGACCAGAGGCAGATTTGGGAGATTCTGAAGGCCAAGGAGGTTGAGATTCGGGAGGGCAGGACCAGCCCTCCAGCCCCAAGGAGGGGCACGTGTCAGCCCCAGGGGGTCCTCTCACCTGTGTCCCATCCCAATCATGTCAAACACATTTCTAGGAACCCGCAGCCCGCACTGAACACAAGTTTAAAGGAGCTTGTGGGGGTACAGCTGTGCTCAAGCTGGGGGCGAGAACACCTTCCTTTCCTCACTGGGGTGTTTTCGTTCCAATCGCTGAGACCACTTAGAAAGTCTTAAAGGAACAACTTGCCATTTTCCAAATGGCTGTTATTAGGAGAAGAAGTAACACTTTTTCTTTTCTTGAGACAGAGTCCTGCTCTGTTGCCCAGGCTGGAGAGCAATGGCGTGATCTCGGCTCACTGCAACCTCTGCCTCTCGGGTTCAAGCGATTCTCTTGCCTCAGCCTCCTGAGTAGCTGGGATTAAGGCACCCGCCAAAACACCTGGCTAATTTTTGTATTTTCAGTAGAGACAGAGTTTCACCATCTTGGTCAGGCTGGTCTTGAACCCCTGACGTCATGATCTGCCCACCTCAACCTCCCAAAGTGCCTGGATTATAGGCATCAGCCACAGAGCCCCGCCCCAAAGTAATATTTCTTGTAGTGTCTGCTACGTGCATCTCCTGGGCCTCAGTTTCCTCATCTGTAAAATAGGACTAATGCCTTACAGAGCTCACGCAGGGCTGCATAAAGAACTACAATGAGCCGAAAAATAGTAACTGTGCCTGCCTGGCAGGTGGGAAAGCTTGATGCTCCCCTCCCCACCCCCGTTTTTTTGGTCTTATGAACGTTTCCTTGGCTTGCTAAGAGCGTAGAGACCCCTGACAGCAGGGCCTGGAGGGACTGGGTCAGCGCCAGCCCAGGCCACTTTTATTATTATTATTTTTTGAGACGGAGTTTCGCTCGTCACCCAGGCTGGAGTGCAATGGCGCGATCTCGGCTCACAGCAACCTCCGCCTCCTGGGTTCAGGCAATTCTCCTGCCTCAGCCTCCTGAGTGGCTGGGATTACAGGCACGCGCCACCATGCCCAGCTAATTTTTGTATTTTTAGTAGAGACGGGGTTTCACCATGTTGACCAGGATGGTCTCGATCTCTTGACCTCGTGATCCACCCGCCTCGGCCTCCCAAAGTGCTGGGATTACAGGCGTGAGCCACCGCGCCCAGCCATTATTTTTATTTTTTGAGGCCAAGTCTCACTCATTCTAATGGGGTTTTATTGTGTTGGCCAGGATGGCCTCAAACTCCTGACCTCAAGTGATCTGCCCGTCTCAGCCTCCCAAAGTGCTGGGATTACAGGCGTGTTCTTGGAGCCTTGCCTCTGCTGGGGGCGTCTCCAGGACTGGGTTCTGGGAAGCAAGTGCGCGCCCCGCAGCCCCCAGGACCTCTCCTTGGCCAGGAGACGGCTGATCGCCCACTGCTCTCCCTGCCAGCAGGCCTTTTGCTGTTGCTGTGTGCTCTGCCTGGACCACCCTCCTGCTGGGCACACCTGGAAAATCCTCTTCACCTTTGGGCCCTCTCTGCTGCACAGCCTCTTCCTCTAGGAAGCCCTCCTAGCTCCCCAGAGAGGCTCTGCCCCTCCTCAGTCCCAGCCCTGACTGTCTGGGGCTGGGAAGAATGCTGTCAAGTTCGGGGAAAACTCCAGAAGGGTCCCCCACTGCCCCCCAGGGAGCCCGCGGGGGCAGATATTCCAGATGGGGGTCCTCCTGCGTGTGGGGCAGGAGTGATGTCAGTCCTCCACAACCTAGTAAATGTTTATGGGCCAGGGGGCCTGGGCTTTGGGGCTCCCTGGAGCCCAGCAAGCGGCCGCCCCCTCCTGTTCCATTCTGGGGGGCCTGTCCTGCAGGCGGGGTTGGAGGGGAGCTGGCAGGCCTGCGCCAACCCTGGCGGGTGGCCCGGAATGGCCTGGGTGGGCAAAGCCCCTGGTCTGAGCCCTCGGCTCCCGTGAACGCAGGGGGCAACTGTGGCTGGGGATGAATGGGGCTTGTTGCCTTTACATTTCCAGCACCTCCCCCACCCTGGGCCTTAGTGCATGGAACCGGCCCCAGAAGCGGCCTTAGTGCAGGGCTAAGGGTGACTGTCGTGGGAGCTTGGACTGGTCCTTTCTCCCGTACGGTCCTTAGGGTCCTTGGCTGCAGATTTGGGGCTGGGTTGCCTATTCCTAGAAGCTGTCACCTCTCAGCTGCTGCGGGCAGAATGCAGGAGAAGGAAGGGGATAAGGAGACAGAGAAAGGCCTGCAATGTGGAGGAAGGGATGGAATCTGACGCCTGTGTCACCTTGGGGCCGGGGGCATGGGGATGACCTTTTGGGCTCACGCTGGCAGGCTGTGCTGTGGTGGGTGCTGCCCCCTGCCGGCCACAGTGGAGACAGAGGCTGGTGCCCTGGAGTGGACGGGATGCCTGCATGGAGCTGAATCATCTTTCTTCTTTGTGGGGCATCTTTGAAAGGCCCTTATTCCCATTTACTATGTGGGAAAGCTAAGGCCTGGGTGTTGCTGTCTTCCGAGGGCACAAGGGAAGAATCAAGTGGTGGGATCTGAACCCAGAGCCTGTTTTAATGACGACTCTGTTAGGGCTTAGACAGGGCCCCCGCCCCTCCTGGCTTGTGGTGGGTGTCTACCCTTTCTCAGGGAGCCCCAGCCCAGGCCCAGGCCCCCAGCCCCGGAGGTGCAAGTGACCGTGAGCTGTTGTGTTGCCCCGCTTGAGCTGGAACACACGGGAACATGTGTGCTCTCTCCACACAGGGTGGCCGGGCACAGTGGCTCATGCCTATAATCCCAGCACTTTGGGAAGCTGAGGAGGGAGGATTGGTCAAGGCCAGGAGTTTGAGACCAGCCTGCACAACACAGTGAGAACCCGTCTCTACAAAAAACAAAAATAAAAACAATTAGCTGGCTGGGGTGGTGCACACCTGCAGTCCCAGCTACCCGGGAGGCTGAGATGAGAGGGTCACATGAGCCGGGAGGTCAAGGTTCCCGGGAGCCGAGATCCTGCCACTGCCCCCCAGCTTGAGTCACAAAAAGACAATTTTTTAAGCAGAGACAGGGTCTCACTGTGTTGCCAGGCTGGTCCCAGACTCCTGGCCTCAAGCAGTCCTCCCACCTGACTGCCCAAGGTGCTGGGATTACAGGTTCAAACCACCATGCCCAGCCTACAAAATATTTTTTAAAATACGCCAGGCATAGTGGCGGTGGCTGCACCAGGTACTTGGGAGGCTGAGGCAGGAGGACTGCTCGGGCCTGGGAGTTCCAGGCTGTTTCTACTTGGGGCTGACAGAGGAGATGAGGCTGAAAGTGAAGTTGGCTTTTCACCACATCGAGGCCCCATGGGTGGGCTTGAGAAAAGGAAAGAGATGGGGCCAGACACGGGTGAGGAGGGGAAAGGAGGGGAAAGGAGGGCCGCAGCAGCCGGCCAGCTCCTGCTGTCCTGGCCCACCAGCAGGCCCCAATCCATCCCAGCCGGGGCTGTGCACAGCTCTGCTCCCCTGGGTGGAGCCTGGAGCGCCCTCATTTACAGCCCACCGTGGCATGTTGGAACTCGTAGGCTTCCTCTCCAGCTACCAGGGAGCCTGAGCCAGGTCTGGAGAAAGGGCTTGGGTGGCGCCAGCACTCCAGGGCTGCTTAAATCACCAGGCCTGACAGGCGGTGGCGGGAAGGAATCACAATTATTTCCCTTGTCGCTGCCACCAGCTAGGTCCTGAGGGGGCTCCTGTCCTGCTCTGCCCCAGCCCCAGGGGCTCCAAGTGACCTGCCAGATGGGGACAGCTGCTGGGCCAACCTGTCTGGGGCTCGCCGCTCCAGTGCCCAGGAATTTGGAGATGGGGCCTGGGCGTGTTCTCCACATGCTGTTGGCTTTGGGGACAGGCCCAGAGAAGGGATGGCTCATGATCTGCATCGGGGCTGTGACTGGAGTCGACAGCACCGAGGGCAGGGCCGTGGGCGTTGGGGCCCAGTTTCCACTTACTGGCAGGTCACTTGCACGCTCCCGCCCTGCCCTGGGAACTGGTGGAGGAGGCACAGAGGTGGGGGCGTGTCCCAGCCAAGTCTCCCCTCTGCGGCTCCAGGTGGCCCCAGCCCGATGCAATCCCAGTTCTGCAGGGCCAGGCTGGTACCCTTGGCAGAGATGGCAGGCGGCAGGCAGGCGCGTGTGCAGGGGGCCTTATCTTATCTCCCTTCCTCACTCCCGCCCGGATCCGCCCTCACTGGCCGGCCGCAGTGTCGCCATCACCAAGCCCTCCGGACACTGACACACACAGACACGGAATTTATTTCTGGATGCGTTCTGCAGGCTGGAGGTCCCGGCAGGCGCAGGGCTCACTCTCTGGGTTTTGGGAACAGCTGCCAGCCCTCTAGCCGGCCCATCTTGAACAGGGCGGCTGCGATGCCGAAGTACACACAGCAGGCGGCGCCGACCTCGTAGTTCCGCACTGCCGAGTGGGGAGGTGATGTCAGGCCCTGCTGGGGCAGGGCTGGACCAAGATGCTCACGATGGGTCACCACTGCCCGGTGCCCACCCTGGCAGCCAGACTGAGACCCCTGACAGGACACTCTCTTCAGGGATTAAGTCACTTAGGAAGAAGGCCCTAGACTCTGATGTGGAAACTGAGGTGCAGAGGGGGCCCGAGTCCAGGTGGCTTCCCAGCAGGAACCAAGGCTGTGGGTCCTGGTCCCACCCCACGCCGACTGCCCCCTGCGAGAGAAACACCATGCTGCCCCCGGCTGGGGCTGGGGCAAGGCTGGACACCAGGCAGTGGTGACACGTCGGTGTGTCTCCGTCTCTCCTCTGCCCATGGACGCCAAGGCCAGGCCACACCATCTGCCTCATGGTCTGTGTACCGAGGAGCCCAGACAGTGCTCCTGCTTTCCCCGGCCCTCCTGCCCTGAAGCTTCTGGGCCAGAGGAGGAAGGAGGCGTTTTCCACGAACCAGGGACTTACAGGTTTTGAAGAGAGACAAGGAGGCTGGCCTGGGGGCAGGGAACAGTTCCAGCCAGGCCTGGGCAACAGTCAAAATCTCAACCTACCTCCAACCTCTGACCAGTTCTGGTGGAAGCCGGGGTGGGGTGCGGCCGCCCCAAGGTCTTGTCGCAGAGGTGCAGTGATGGCGTAGGCCCTGCCCTCGCACCCTCCCTGTCTGCCTGCCTGGAACCTGCCATCCATCACTCCCAACGTGCCAGGCCAGAGCGGCTCGGCCAAGTGGGCTCACCACTCACTCCTCCTGCGGGCCCTGAGGGCCCGAGTCTTTACAGCCTTTACAGAGCGGTGAACAGCCAGGCTCTTCCGGCAGTGACAGCCTGAGGGCCTGAGCCCTGGTAGGCTGGGGGTCGGCCAGGGGCACAGGCGGGCACTGACCCCAAGCCCGGGCCCGTGGGAGGGCTGAAGGAGTGGGGTCTGGCTCATGCTCCAGGCGGGCTTCCCTGGGCCAGGCAGGCCTCCTCCACCAGGGCTGCACCCTCTGCTGGCTACAAAGAAGGCCACTTCTCCCCCAGGTGGCCTCGGGCCACTTCATTCCCTCCCTGAGTCCTAATACCCGTATCTGTAAAGTGAAGCCTGCGGGGGAAGCTCCCCTGCAGGGCTCCAGGTGCAGGGAGAGAGGTGGCAGGGCGGGGACCTCCTCGCTGACTCACTGGCCAGTGGTGGAGATGGGCAGTGACCTGTGTCCTCTGACAAGCCATGGCAGATGGAAGGGGCATGGAGTGAGGGTGGCGGGGATGCTGGCCTGTACACAGGGTGCTCAGGACAGCGAAGGGAACAGCTCTGCAGGCAGTGAACAGCGCAATGGCCCTGGGCAGGACTGTGCCTGGCATGTTGGAGGGACAGCAAGGAGGCCCGTGTGGCAGGAGCAGAGTGAGGAGGAGAGGCGGGGAGGAGACGCGTAGGACAGGGAGGGGCCTGCCGGCCGAGCCGAGGCCCTAGCGCCGTGGTACACAGCAGGTGCTTCAGCAGCAGCAGCTGTGGCTATAACTGAACTGGCTGAGGTTCAAGGGGGCTGCCTGGCTCCTTGTCCGGGATGGAAGAGAGGGCGCAGGGGCAGCAGGGTCAGGGGTCGTTCTGCCACGCTGGGAGGAGGGTGGGTGGGGTGGGGTGGGGCCCACTTACCGCGTGATCCCACAGTCAGGCCTCCGGCGCAGCCACCAAGGAAGTAGTTCAGGGGGTCATCGGGCTTCTGGCGGACCTGGGCGGTGATGCAGGAGGTGAGGCCGAACACGGCCCCGACGGCAGCTGTGGGGTAGACGCGAGGAGTGGACGCTCAGCACGTGCCCCAAGGAGGGAGCCTTGTGCCAGCATCTGAATGGAGACATGCCACGGGCCGGCCGCGGGGCCTCCCCACCCTACACATGTTCCCGATAAAGGAATACCCCACTTTCCCCTGGTGGCGGGGACCATGGACGCGGGCTGGGGAGTGAGGGGGAAGACGCAGCTGTCAAATGCGCTCCAAGAGCTGGGGCTCTGCCAGGAGAGGGCCCAGCCATGCCCAACCCGGCTCACTTACCTCCAGTGAATGTGTACCGCCCGGCCCTGAGTGCTCCATCAAGGAAGTTGTTGGCAGGATTGAGTGTGACGCTGTAAGCAGCAGCGGTCCCACCTGCGAGATGGAGGGGAGGGGAGGGAGGACACTCAGACTCCACTGCAGCGAAGCCCTCGCTGGGCTGGGAAGCCCACAGGGTGGTCTCTTTCCCTCAGTCCTCACGATGTCCCCAGGTGGCTCCAGTAGCACCCCTTCTTTGCACATGGTGCCCCTGGCTGCTGAGTGGCAGAGCTGGATTTGAACTTGGGTTTGCTGCTCCAAAGTTGTGGGGCCTCTCACTTCTTTCCCACTCCCCCCAGGCCTCCCTACCTCTGTTGGCCACTTTCTCAAGCCTGACCAGCACTGGCTCCCGCAGAGCACCCGCTGGGTGCCCATGACCCACGCTGGCCCTGGCAGGGTAGCGGCTGGCAGACGGACACCCCTCCACGTAGTGGGCATAAGCACATGCCACAGACCGTCCTGTGGCTGCCTCTGACCTCGCAGCACCAGCTCAGCAGCGCCCCCAGCAGGCCCTGGCACTAACTTCAGCTCCAGGTTCCCATCAATGGCTCTATTCTCCTGTGGGGCCCCAGGGTCCTGGGCCTAATCCCCCTTGGCAGCGGCCCCACTTCCCTGCCCAGCTGCCAACGCCTCCTCCTTGTCACTCTCGACCCCCTCCTGCCAGCAGCTCGGGCCTGGGCTCGTCCTGCACACCTGGCTGCCTGGCCGCCACCCAGCCTCACCACTTGGGTCAGCTTTTCCATCTCTGCCATCTCCTCTGGTCACCCTGCCACTGACACTGGTTTCTTTCTTTCTTTCTTTTTTTATTGAGACGGAGTTTCGCTCTTGTTACCCAGGCTGGAGTGCAATGGCGCAATCTCGGCTCACCGTAACCTCCGCCTCCTGGGTTCAGGCAATTCTCCTCCCTCAGCCTCCTAAGTGGCTGGGATTACAGGCACGCGCCACCGTGCCCAGCTAATTTTTTGTATTTTTAGTAGAGACAGGGTTTCACCATGTTGACCAGGATGGTCTCGATCTCTTGACCTCGCGATCCACCTGCCTCGGCCTCCCAAAGTGCTGGGATTACAGGCGTGAGCCACCGCGCCCGGCCAACATTGGTTTCTATGCATGACGGGCCTGGGCAAAAGCCAGGCCCAGAACCCAGGGCCAGGTAGGTGGTGGGGACAGAGGTTTGATCCCAGACCACTGATCCCACTGGGAGTCTAGGGGTGTCCTGGGTGAGGCCAGGGCCCGCCCAGCTTCACAAGCCCCTCCACAGTGGACAGGCAGATTGAGGTGGTGCAAGCCGGGCTCCCCCATCCCGTGCCTGACACTGCTCAGGGCAGACAAGCACCCTTTTCTCCCTATAGCCTTGAAACATGGCCTAGTTGCAGGCAGGGACCCCCTGGGGCCAGCCCACCCAGAGAAAACAGAACTGCCATGGACAGGATGGGCCACAAGGGCCCTGATCCTCCTCGGGGCCCAATGGGCTCAGCCCCGTGAGCCCCTCCTTCACAGGAGGCGAGGGACCTCAGAGATGCAAAGCAATTCCCCTGAGGTCACCCAGCCTGGCCGGCCTGGAAGCCAGGCAGGTCCCACCAAAGCTCATGCTTCACCCACCACGACTGCCCCAGGGGAGTGGGCTCCACCCGTTCCCCAACCAGCTGGACCCAGAGGACTTTCTAGGCCTAGTAGTGACCCCCCCAGTAGCACCCCAGCCTCATATCTAATTCAGTTCATGGTGGTTCTGTCCCTCAGGAGCGGCTGGGGGGGGACTCCCACACCCAGCAGTGACGTTCATATTCAGAGCAGCCCAGAGGAGGGCCTATCTGCTCACCCCAAGCACAGATTGGGAAACTGAGGCCCAAGATACAGAGAAAGGGATCACATATAAGGAGTGCCTTGTGGATCTGGTTTCTCCTAATCCCACGCCGACCCCTGGGATCCCTACCCAATCTCAGAAATGTGGATGGAGGACTGGGCACAGTGGCTCACAGCTGTAATCCCAGCATTTTAAGAGGACAAGGTGGGTGGATCATTTGAGGTCAGGAGTTCAAGATCAGCCTGATTGACATGGTGAAATCCTATCTCTATTAAAAATACAAAAATTAGCTGGGTGTCGGAACGCATGTCTGTAGTCCCAGCTACTTGGGAAGCTGAGGCAGGAGAGTCGCTTGAACCCTGGAGGTGGAGGTTGCAGTGAGCCGAGATCACACCACTGCACTCCAGCCTGGGCGAAAGGGTGAGACTCTGTTTAAAAAAAAAAAAAAAAAAAAAAAGGAAGAAAGAAAAGTGGATAGAGGGAGTGCCGGGTCTAGGGACTGCAGCGGGGAGGGGGTGCTATTGGAGTGCAGGACAGGGCCACCCCAGGCCTCGCCACCTGCTCCTGGCCCAGCAGCCCCATCCTCAGTCACACTCCAGTGCGCGCGCGCGCACACACACACACACACACACACACAGACACGTCCTCCCATGCCGGATTCTTTTATTTGTCAAATTATTTATTTTTGAAACGGAGTCTCATTCTGTTGCCAGGCTGGAGTGCAGTGGCATGATCTCAGCTCACTGGGACCTTAGACTCCCTGGTTCAAGCAATTCTCCTGCCTCAGTCACCCAAGTAGCTGGGATTACAGGCACGTGCCACCACGCCCAGCTAATTATTGTGTTTTCAGTAGAGATGAGGTTTCCCCATGTTGGCCAGGATGGACTCCATCTCCGGCCCTTGTGATCTGCCCACCTCGGCCTCCCAGAGTGCTGGGATTACAGGCGTGAGCCACCGCGCCCGGCCTATTTATTTATTTATTTACTAACTGAAGAGGGCTGGAGTACGAAGCTTCTTCGCAGCCTGGAGTAGAGCAGCACAATCTCGGCTCACTGCAAGCTGCTCTCCTGCCTGGACAGCGTTTCACTCTATTGGCCATGGTGGTGTCGAACTCCTGACCTCAGGTGATCTACCCGCCTCGGCCTCCCAGAGTGCTGGGATTACAGACGTGAACCACCGGGCCCAACCTTGACGATTCCTAATGAAAGGGGACTACCAGCCCTGGCTGGGACCTGCTGAGTCCTGATCTAGGGCTGGGCCAGCCATGAGAGTCTCATAACCCTCTCATCTCAAGGGGGAACCACTGACAAGACTCAGTGATGCCCCCAGAACCCAGTCACCGAGGGACTTCTGGGTGGAACCTCCTTATGCCACCCCCGTATGCAGTGGTCCTGGCCAAGGGGCCCCCAGCTCATGGACCACACCTGATACGGTGAGTGTGCCCACCATCCTCCATCCCTTCCAAAGTGCTTACATTGGGAGTGGGCGAGCTGCAACCCCCTGATTATCCCAGAGAGGCCAAGGACTGCCCCATGCCAACTCTACCCAGCTGTCATCCAACTGTGGTGTCCTGCCACATCCACCCCTCCAGGAGCCCCCATGCCCTTCAAAAGTCCCCCTTCCCTCTGCTCTGCCACTGCTGGTTCCCTCTGAGCCTCCCACAGTGACCACCAGACGCACTGTGAATTCATTCAGTGACTAACTCTCATTCACTTATTCATTCAATCACAAAGTTACCAAGTACCTAACAAGGTGCCACATTCACTCACAAATGGTGCCCACAGGATGCTTCATTCATTCATCCATCCATAGTTATCGTATGCCCACAGGTCCTGAGTATAGTCTCCCACTGCCCAGGGTCCCCAACTCAGGGAAGCCAGACATGAAACAATTTATCTTCCTCAGATGAGAAGTGAGGGAAGCCCCGGAATCAAGTGAGTGGGTCAGTGAGGGGAAGAGCTAGAAGCAAGTTTCAGCCAAGTGGAGCGGAAGAATTTAGGGAGAAGGCTGTGAGGTGGCTCATGCCTGTAATCCCAGCACTTTGGGAGGCCGAGGCAGGCGGATCACCTGAGGGCAGGGGTTTGAGACCAGCCTGGCCAACACGGTGAAACCCCATCTCTACTAAAAATAAAAAATCTGTCAGGCATGGTGTCGGGTACCTGTAATCCCAGCTACTTGGGAGGCTGAGGCACGAGAATTGCTTGAGAACGTGAGGTGGAGCTTGGAGTGAGCCAAGATCGCACCACTGCACTCCAACACGTGTGATAGAATGAGACCCTGTATCCCCCCACCAAAAAATCAGGGAGAAGAAATGTTACCCTCGAAGACCCCTGGGCATTCTGGAGGGTTCACAGAAGCCACTGACCACCCCTACATCTAAATCCGACACCATCAGAGATCCCCTGACATGGCACCTCTGTCAAAAGTTCCCACTTCTGGCTGGGCACAGTGGCTCACACCTGTAATCCCAGCACTCTGGGAGGCCGAGGCAGGTGGATCACCTGAGGGCAGGAGTTGGAGACCAGACTGGCCAATGTGGTAAAACCCTGTGTCTACTAAAAATACAAAAATTAGCTGGGCGTGGTGGCGTGTGCCTGTAATCCCAGCTACTTGGGAGGCTGGGCAGGAGAACTGCTTGAACCTGGGAGGTAGAGGCTGTGGTGAGCCAAGATCGCACCATTGCACCCCAGCCTGGGCGTGCAAAACTCCAGCTTAAAAAAAAAAAAAAAACCACAGGGTGCAGGGGCTCATGCCTGTAATCCAGCACTTTTGGAGGCTGAGGCGGGCAGATGACAAGGTCAGGAGTTCCAAACCAGCCTGGCCAATATGGTGAAACTCCGTCTCTACTAAAAATACAAAAATTAGCAGGGCGTGATGGCGGGTGCCTGTAGTCCCAGCTACTCGGGAGGCTGAGGCAGGAGAATCCCTGGAATCCAGGAGGTGGAGGTTGCAGTGAGCCAAGATCATTCATGCCACTGCACTCAAGCCTGGATGACAGAGCAAGACTCTGTCTCAAAACAAACAAACAAACAAACTTCCCACTTCCCCCTCTAAGACCCTCTAGGAAGCCTCCCCTGGCCCCAGAGGCTCTTCACTCAGCAGCACCACACTGCGAGACAACCTGTCTCCTCCAGTGGCCTCCTGGGACCGCAGCCCACCCATGTTGTATTCATGCATGAGGAAAACACACACACTCTCTCTCACATACATGTCCTCAGTGTCAGATCCTGTCCCCTGGGTGGCCCCTTGAGCCCTTTCTCCTGAAGACCCTCCATAAGGACCTGATGGAACATTCCTCGCTTCAGAGACCCCTAGGAGGAGGTCAGCCACCTGGATTCACAGCCCAGCTTCGAAGAACCCTGCGGCGGTTAATATGCTCCAAACTTCAGTCCCTAGCTCCAAGAAATGGAGATAGAATAGTGGTCTGTCTCACTGTGGATAAGTATGCAAAATACAGGAGCGACGCCCTAATTCACCTCCCGGTGGAGCCGCAGCTGTGGCCAGGTCCAGTTTTACATATGCTGGAAATACAGAGGTGACCGAAATGATTCCTCAGCTTATACACACACCCGCCGTTATTTTTTTTTTTGAGACAGGATCTTGCTCTGTCACCCAGGCTGGTGTGCAATGGTCCAGTTATAGTTATAGCAAACTACAGTCTCAGACTCCTGGGCCAAAGCGATTCTCCTGTCTCAGCCTCCCAAGTTGCTGGGACTACAGGCGCACCCCACCACACCTGGCTAATTTTTGTATTTTTAGTTGAGACAGGGTTTCACTATATTGGCCAGGCTGGTCTTGAACGCCTCACCTTGTGATCCACCCACCTTGGCCTCCCAAAATGCTGGGATTACAGGCCTGAGCCACCACGCCCGGCCCCTTTTAATTTTTTGGCAAAGATGGGGAATCTTGCTATTTTGCCCAGGCTGGTCTGGAACTCCTGGCCTCAATCAATCCTCCCACCTTTCCCAATCCATCCTGAGTGCTGGATTACAGGTGTGAGCCACCGCTCCTGGCCCAGTGAGTAAAGATTCTTGGCCAGGTGTTGTGGCTCACACCTGTAATCCCAGTACTTTGGGAGGGCTAGGCAGGCAGATCACCTGAAGTCGGGAGTTCGAGACCAGCTTGACCAAGATGGAGAAACCCTGTCTCTACTGAAAATACAAAATTAGTCAGGGTAGTGGTGCATGCCAGTAATCCCAGCTACTCCGGAGAATGAGGCAGGAGAATCGCTTGAACCCAGGAGGCAGAGGGTGCGGTGAGCTGAGATCGCACCATTGCACTCCAGCCTGGGCAACAAGAGCAAAACTCCTCTCCCCACCCTCAAAAAAAAAAAAAAAAAAAAGATTCTTAATCAGTGGAGACTTCCAGCCCCATCTGGGACCTGATGAGTCCCAACCTGGGGCTGAGAATTAAAGGCATGATGCCCAGGAAATGCTCAGGCTAGAAGGGACAAGACTCTGAGTTCTCCCCTATAAGAGAATGCCAGGGCTTGTGGGTCCCTGTGATTCCCCTGCAAGGCTACCCTCAGTAGCTCCCGATCCACCTCTAGGACCTCTCCGGCAGTCCCAGTAAAAGCTTCAGATATCCCTGACCACCCAGCACCCCCTGACCACAAAATGAACTCATTCCACCCCAAAACGTTCTTAAACTTCTGTACCGCCCTCAGATGCCCCAATCATGGCTCATGACCCCCTCTAACAATCTTGTTAACCGTTGGAAAGTCTCGCGGTCCCCTAGCTCCTTGGACCCTGATAATGGCCCTGTCTCACTCAACAATTTCCCCGAGTCTGGCGATCGCTTGGGACCTCCTCAGACGACCCCACGGACTAGTCTGTCACATGTCACGACCCTCAATGCCAACCCTGCTGGACCACCTGCCAACATCCATTTCACACAAGATTAACTCCCCACGGCCGCCCAAGACACCCCGATAATGACCACGTGCGTACCCGCGAGACTCCCAGCTCCGTTCGATCCACTCAGACAGCCCCCAGTGACCCCACGACCTCACTGCGCCCCCGGCCCTCCACTCTCGGGGCCCGACCGGCACCCACCGACGACGGTGCCAGTAGCGGTGGTGCTGACGGCTTTGCGGTGGCAATCGGTGCCATCGGGGATGTCCCAGAACTGACTCATAATCCTCGGCGCCATAGCCGGCAGCCAGTATCCCGCACCGCGGGACCCAGTCGACTTTGCAAGTGCAAGGGCAGACACCGCTGGCTATCGCGAGACTTCCTGGGCTGCGCGCGCAACCTCCCGGGGGAGAAGGCCGGCAACAAGTGCGCAACTTTATTGATAGCCGCGGACATGGACAAGGATCGCGCCCACGCGCCGGGAACAGGCCTAGTGGAAGAGAGCCACACGTGCACCCCCAGGCCGATTTCCAGAGGGGGAAACTGAGGACGCCTGCGATCAGTGCAGACAGATTTCGCTAGTCCCAGCTCAGGGAATCCTAGGTTAGGGAGGGTTTGACTACCGGAGAGGGGAACTAATCTAGAGAAGGGTCCAGGCTCAGACTGGAACGGGCGGGACTCCACTTGACGGGAGCGAGACGTCATTGTGAGGCGGGGCATGGCGGGGATGTGCCCGCACCCGTGTCAGAATCAGTATGGGGGGTGGTCATGCCCTGTGATCAACCACCAAGCTGGAGTCGGAGCCGCGTGCTACTGTTATGGGGCGTTGACAGGGGACGGAGATTAGCGGGAAAGTGACCAATGACGATACTAGAGGCTCAGCGGGACGTTGCCTCTGTCCAACCAGCGGCTGTCCCACGCCCTAGGCCGGATGAAGTACACAGGCGCTTGGCTTGGGGGCGTGACTAGAATTGGAGGCATAACCTGAAAGGGATTTGACCAATCCGAGACTGTATAAGGAATGAAAGGGCGTAGCCATGCCTGGATCTGCCCCTGACTGGCAGCAGGATCGGGGGCGTGATCAGGCTTAGTGTTTCGAGGAGTCCGGGCCAATCCTGGTGTTAGCTTCCAAGTCGGGCGGGGACAGTATCAAGGTGTGACCAATCACGCTTCCAGAGCCTGAGTTGGGCGAACCACCGGAGAATGTGGCCAATCTAGGGGTGTGGCTGTCACGATCTGGTCCAATCCTAGAGTGAACCCGAGCTCAGCGGCGGAGTTTCATGATGCCGGAACCAGTGGTAGTGTTTGGGTTTGAGGAGAACACGACCCAGCCCTGTGGGGCGGAGTCTAGCGGGGTCATCTACCAATCGTGCCGAGGTCCGGAGAGGCAGGGCCCTCCCGGAGGCGGGCCTGTGTCGGTTCCGGGCCCCCGGGGGCGTGCCCAGGCCTGCACAGCTGCCTGGGCCATGTCGGCGCCGCCGGCCCTCCAGATTCGGGAGGCGAACGCGCACCTGGCAGCCGTGCACCGGCGCGCAGCGGAGCTGGAGGCGCGGCTGGACGCGGCGGAGCGCACGGTGCATGCCCAGGCCGAGCGCCTCGCCCTCCACGACCAGCACCTGCGCGCCGCCCTGGACGAGCTGGGCCGCGCCAAAGACCGGTGAGGTCCGGGGGTCGGCCAGGTGGACTTCACCGAGGCTGGAAAGCGAGGAAGGGCAGGGGAACAGTGTGCACTCGTGTGGAAGCGGGACTGCTTATGGGATTGATAAACACACCAAAAAATTCGAATTAGTAATCAGTATGTAAAGTGGACAGACGTGGCACAGGGGCGGACCTCTAACTTCAAACAGGGCCCACTTTCCCACAGGTGCAGAGCGACGCAGTGACCACAGACCGCCCCTGTGTAGGCACTGGGAGCCGTAGCAGGCTCGTCAGCAGGAGAGAAGGGAATCATATTAGCATTTTTCATTTATTACTATTATTTGAGAGGGGGTTTTGCTTTTGTCACCCAGGCTTGAGTGCAGTGGCGCAATCTCGGCTCACTGCAACCTCCTCCTTCCAAGTTCAAGCAGTTCTCCTGCCTCAGCCTCCTGAGTAGCTGGGATTACAGGCGTCTGTCACCATGCCCAGCTAATATTTTGTATTTTTACTAGAGACGGGTTTTCACCATGTTGGCCAAGCTGGTCTCGAACTCCTGACCTCAGGTGATCCGGCCACCTCGGCCTCCTAAAGTGCTGTGATTACAGGCGTGAGCCACTGAACCTAGCCTAAATTTATTATTTTTAAGGCAAGGACTCACTCCAACCTCCAGGCTGGAGTGTAGTGGGACGATCTCGGCTCACTGCAGCCTCGACCTCCAGAGCTCAGGTGATTCTCCCACCTGTTCTCCAAGTAGCTGGGACTACAGCCGTGCAATACCACGCCTGGCTAATTTTTTGTATTTTTTTGTGGGGACAGTTTTGTCACGTTGCCCGAGCTGGTCCTGAACTCCTGTGCTCAAGCAGTCCTCTCACCTCACCCTTCCAAAGTGCTGGGATTAGAGGCATGAGCCACCGCGCCTTTTATTATTTTTCAGACAGGGTCTTGCTCTGTTGTCCAGACTGGAGAGCACTGGTGCGATCTCAGCTCACCGCAGTCTCAACCTCCCTCCTCAGCTTCTCAAGTAGCTGGGATTACAGGCATGCAACACTACACCCGGCAGATTTAAAAAAAAAAAAAAAAACAGTCCTTTAGAGACAGGGTTAGACTGTATTGCCTAGGCTGGCCGCCAACCCTGGGCTGCTCAAGTGATCCTCCAGCCTCAGCCTCCCAAAGTGCTGGGATTACAGGTATGAGCCACCATGCCAGCCTATATCAGCATTTTTGAAGAGTCCCTCTGGCAGCCGAGGATGAAAGAGATGAGACAGGCCCCCAGGGAGGAGGGAGGAGCTGGGGCCCAGGTGGGAACTATTAATTCAGAGCAAACTGGACATATTCATCCATCGTCACTGAGCAGCTACTGTGCGTCAGGCAGTGTGCTGGGTACTGGACCACATTGGTAAGAGCTACTCAGCCTTGCTCATTGCGCATCCACAGTCCAGTGGAGAGAAAGACATATCACTGGGCATTTACATCATCGGTGGTCAACAGCTGTGATGGAGGGGCATATGGGGTTGAGGGGTCCCAGGGGGAAGGCTTCCTAGAGGAAGAGCCTACTAAGAACAGATGGGAAAAGATACTGGAAAAGAAGGAACGGCGGGAAGAGTGAGGGGACGAAATGAGAGGTCTCACAAGAAAATGGCATAAACTGGCCGGGTGCGGTGGCTCACGCCTGTAATTTCAGCACTTTGGGAGGCCGAGGCAGGTGGATCACCTGAGGTCAGTTCGAAAGCAGCCTGGCCAACATGGCAAAACCCCATCTCTACTAAAAATATAAAAAATTAGCTGGGTGTGGAGGCACACAGCTGTAGTCCCAGCTACTCAGGAGGCTGAGGCAGGATAATCGCTTGGACCAGGAGGCAGAGGTGCGGTGAGCTGAAATGGCGCCACTGTACTCCTCCTGCCTGGGTGGCAGAGCGAGGCTGTCTGAAACACACCAATGCCATAAACTAAGTGGCTTAAACACCAGGTTTATTTTTCAGCATTCTGGAGGCTGGCGTCTGAGAGCAAGGTGCCCGCAGTCAGGCCATGGGAAAGGCTTCTCACTGCATCCTCACAGGGCAGAGAGAGCCAGGGAGTCTTTTGTATTTCTTCGTATAAGCGCACTAAGCACCACTCCCGTCATAGAGACCCCCACCCTGACAACCTCATCTAACCCTAACACCTCCCAAAGGCTCCAGTCTCCAAATACCCTCCTACGATTAGGCTAGGTGTCCCCACCCACATGTCATCTTGAATTGTAATCCCATAATCCCCACGTGTGGTGGGAGGGACTGGTGGGACGGTTTCCCCTTCATGCTGTGATAGCGAGTTCTCATGGGATCTGATGGCCCAGTGCAGTGGCTCTTGCCTGTAATCCCAGCACTTTGGGAGGCTGAGGTGGGCAGATCACCTAAGGTCAGGAGTTTGAGATCTGCCTGGCCAACATGATGAAACTCTGTCTCTAATAAAAATACAACAATAACAAAGAAATGAGCTGTGACATATACCAGCAGTCCCAGCTACTTGGGACGCTGAGGTGGGAGGCCAAGGTTGCAGTGAGCCGGGATCACACCACTGCACTCCAGCCTGGATGATAGAGCTAGATTCCATCTCAAGAAAAAATGAATAATTAAGTGAAAAAGGGAGATCTGATGTTTTTTGTTTTTTTTCCCCGAGACGGAGTTTCGCCCTTGTTACCCAGGCTGGAGTGCAATGGCGCGATCTCGGCTCACCGCAACCTCCGCCTCCTGGGTTCAGGCAATTCTCCTGCCTCAGCCTCCGGAGTAGCTGGGATTACAGGCACGCGCCACCATGCCCAGCTAATCTTTTGTATTTTTAGTAGAGACAGGGTTTCACCATGTTGACCAGGATGGTCTCGATCTCTTGACCTCGTGATCCACCCGCCTCGGCCTCCCAAAGTGCTGGGATGACAGGCGTGAGCCACCAGATCTGATGGTTTGATAACGGCCCCGCTTCACTGGTCTCACTCTCTCGGCTGCCCTGTAAAGAGGGGCTTTCCATCATGATTGTAAGTTTCCCGAGTCCCCCCACTCAAGCTATGTGGAAATGTGAGTCAATTCTATCTTTTTTCTTTATAAATTACCCAGTCTCAGGTATGTCCTTAGAACATCATGAGAACGGACTAATACATCTCCCACTGGGGTTACGGCTTCATCATATGAATTTTAGAGAGACTGAAACACTCTATTTAGGTTAGGCACAGGGCTCAAACCTGTAATCCCAGCACTTTGGGAGGTCAAGGTGGGTGGATCACTTGAGGTCAGGAGTTCAAGACCAGCCTGGCCAACAAGGTGAAACCCCGTTTCTACTAAAAACACAAACATCAGCCTCTACTCGGCAGGCTGAAGCAGGACAGTTGCTTGAACCTTGGAGGTGGAGGCTGCAGTGAGCCAAGATCATGCCACTGCACTCTGACCTGGGCAACACAGTGAGACTCCTCAAAAATAATAGTAGGCCGTAATAATAGTTATAGGTGGTAGCTAACGCCTGTAATCCCAGCACCTTGGGAGACCGAGGTGGGTGGATTATGAGGTCAGGAATTTGAGACCAGCCTGGCCAACATGGTGAAACCCCATCTCTACTAAAGATACAAAACATCAGCCAGGTGTGGTGGCGCCTGCCTGTAGTCCCAACTACTTGGCAGGCTGAGACAGGAGAATCTCTTGAACCTGGGAGGCGGAGGCAGCAGTGAGCTGAGATCACGCCACTGCACTCCAGCCTGGGTGTGGTGGTGGGGGGTCTGTAATCCCAACTACTCAGGCAAGACTCCGTCTCAAAAAAAAAAAAAAAAAAAGGAAAAACAACAAAAACAAACATTCCATTGCTGACCAGGAAAGGCCCCGAGGCCGTGGTGAGGAATGCGGGCTTTATCCCACAGGTGATGGGCAGCCTCTGGGTTTCCGCAGCAGGGAGGAGCAGGCCCTGTGGTCCTCGGTTCGGTAATCACCTCCTTTTGCCTTCCTGCCAGCGAGATTGCCACACTCCGGGAGCAGCTGATGACGTCGGAGGCCACTGTCCGCAGCCTGCAGGCCGCCGTGCACCGGAGGGATGAGCTCATTAGGCAGTTGCAGCAGCGGGCTGAGCTGCTGCAGGACATCTGTCACCACCGGCCACCCCTGGCTGGGCTGCTGGCTGTCCTGGCTGAGGCTGAGCGCCTGGGGCCCCTCCCGGCCAGTAACCCCAGCCACGCACCCCCCGGGGGGCCTGGTCCACCCGTTGCCAACAGCACTGGGGAAGAGGCAGACAGGGACCACCTCCAGCCTGCGGTGTTTGGGACCACAGTGTGAGCCCGGGATGCAGATTCCAGAATGCAGACAGAGGGCACTGCTGTCGGTGTCCTTCGGAGTCACCAGTGTCCTGAAGGCGGACCCTATGGCAGAGCCACAGTCCTGCCTAAGCATCAGAACAGGCACATTCAAAGGTTTCAAACAGGCCCCCAGGCCAGATGCGGATGTGTAACCTGACAGAAGTGCTCTTGTTCATGTGTTTGTTTTAAACTTTGAATCCATCACCCTGGCTAGAAACCTGGCAGTGCATACACGAGGATCTGCATTTCTGGCAAGACCTGGTCGTGCTTGCCTGGGGCCCAGGGCATCCTCTTTAGCCAGGGTGTGAGTTTCTGTTGGTCTTTTCTTTTTCTTTTTTTTTGAGACAGAGTCTCACTGTCGCCCTGGCTGGAGTATAGTGGTGCAGTCTTGGCTCACTGCAACCTCCACCTCCTGAATTCAAGCAGTTCTCCTGCCTCAGCCTCCCGAGTAGTTGGGATTACAGGTATGCACTACCACACCCAGCTAATTTTTCTATTTTCAGTAGAGATGGGGTTTCACCATGTTGGCCAGGCTGGTGTCCAACTCCTGGCTTCAAGTGATCCGCCCACCTTGGCCTCCCAAAGTGCTGGGGTTAAGGGTGCGAGCCACCTGCCACACTCAGCTTCCTTTTCTTTTCTTTACGCTACTTCTTACCATCACAGTGTAAGCTCTACGAGGACAGGAATGTTTGCTTGTCCTGTTTGTCACCAGTGCCTGACACATCCCGGGAGCCCCAGGAGGAACAGGATGGATCTGTGGGCTCCTAAAGGCAGTTAGGGGACCCCTGGCACATCTGCTGAGGTGATGAGGCCCCCTCCAGCCAGCCTAGTTTTTTTTTTTTTCCTGAGACAGAGTCTCGCTCTGTCACCCAGGCTGGAGTACAGTGGGGTGATCTTGGCTCACCGCAATCTCTGCCTCCCGGGTTCAAACGATTCTCCTGCCTCAGCCTCCAGAGTAGCTGGGATTATAGGCGCCTGCCACCACACCTGGCAAATTTTGTATTTTTTAGTAGAGGCGGAGTTTCACCATGTTGACCAGGCTGGTCTTGAACTCCTGACCTCAGGCGATCTGCCTGCCTCAGCCTCCCAAAGTGCTGGGATTATAAGCGTGAGCCACTGTGCCTGGCCCTAGCCTAGCTTTTGTAGCAAGCAACTGTCTTTTTATATGCCCTAAAGAATCTATTTCTGAACTCCTTGTTTTCGTGCTGTCGTTGTTAGCCAGAAACATTTAGGGTGCTTTGCTTTTTATCAAACCAGGGAACGGAGAAAACTCCTGTGCCTTTCTGTGCCAGCCTGTCACCCTGGCCTGCTGGGCAGCCATTCCCCTGCCTCTTAACTCAGGGAACTGTCATACCAGGAACCGCTGAGGGGCACAGCTTGTTTCAGCCCAGAAAGGTCGGAGGCCACCCACAGCCCGCAGGATGGCGCCTGCCTGCCTGCCTGGAACATCGACCCCTCAGTGCAGCAACAATGGCCCCATTTTCTCCTCTAGATGAATAAGGAAGGGAGTTGTTTGTACAAAGCAAAGGCAGGCTGTGGCCTGTCTGTGCTCAAGAATAAACTGGGTGATTTCTTGGCCTGGGTCCTCATCCTTTCATCCTGGCGTGGGGGCGAGAGGGGGGCCCTCTGTGTTGTCTGTGCCTCATCATGGGGTCCTGCTGGGCCAGGCAGAATCTAGGGAGCTTGCGCCAAGCACTCTCTACACCTGATTGCATCTAATCTTCGAGGTTCCCTGTAGACACAGGCTTTGTCCTCACTTTACAGCTGTGGAAAGTGAGGCCCAGGCCAGGCGTGGTGGCTCATGCCTGTCATCCCAGCACTTTGGTCAGGAGCTTGAGACCAGCCTGGCCAACATGGTGAAACCTCATCTCTACTAAAAATATAAAAATTAGGGCTGGGCGCGGTGGCTCACGTCTGTAATCCCAGCACTTTGGGAGGCTGAGGCGGGTGGATCACGAGGTCAAGAGATCGAGACCATCCTGGTCAACATGATGAAACCCCGTCTCTACTAAAAATACAAAAAGTTAGCTGGGCATGGTGGCGCGTGCCTGTAATCCAAGCTTCTCAGGAGGCAGAGGCAGGAAAATTGCCTGAACCCAGGAGGTGGAGGTTGCGGTGAGCCAAGATCGCGCCATTGCACTCCAGCCTGGGTAACAAGAGCGAAACTCCATCTCAAAAAAAAAAAAAAAAATACAAAAATTAGCCAGGTGTGGTGCCGGGCACCTGTAATCCCAGCTTCTCGGGAGACTGAGGCAGGAGAATTGCTCGAAACCGGGAGGCGGAGGTTGCAGTGAGTGGAGATGGCACCACTGCACTCCAGCTGGGCGACAGAGTGAGATGCAGTCTCAAAAAAAAGAAGCCCAAATGTGTGAACGGAAGGACTAGGGATCTGCAGGGCCAGGGCCATTTCCAATTTCTGGGGAAGTTATTGCTGAAATTCTTTTTTTTCAGACGGAGTTTTGCTCTTGTCTGAAAAAAACAGAAAAGGCTGGAGTACAATGGCGTGATCTCAGCTCACTGCAGCCTCAGCCTCCTGCGTTCAAGTGATTCTGCTACAGGCATGTGCCACCAAGCCCAGCTAATTTTGTATTTTTAGTAGAGACGGGGTTTCTCCATGTTGGTCAGGCTGGTCTCAAACTCCCAACCTCAGATGATCCGCCCACCTCAGCCTCCCATAGTGCTGGGATTACAGGCATGAGCCACCGCACCTGGTCTTCTGTTTTCTTTTTATTTTAAGAGTCAAAGTCTCACAGTTGGCCAGGCTGGAGTGCAGTGGTGTGATCACGTCTCACTGCAGCCTCAAAATCCTGGGCTTGGCCGGGTGCAGTGGCTCACGCCTGTCATCTCAGCACTGTGGGAGGCCGAGGCAGGCAAATCACCTGAGGTAAAGAGTTTGAGACCAGCCTGGCCAACATGGCGAAACCCTGTCTCTATTAAAAATACAAAAATCAGTTGGGCATGGTGGCACGAGCCTGTAGTCCCAGCCACTTGGGAATCTGGGACAAGAGAATCTCTTGAACCCGGGAGGTGGAGGGTGTAGTGAGCTGAGATTGCACAACTGCACTCCAGCCTGGGTGACAGAGCAAGACTCCATCCCCCACCAAAAAAAAAAAGAAAAAATTACTGGGTTCAAGCTATCCTGCCACTTCAGCCTCCCAAGTAGCTAGGATCACGGGAATGCATCACCATGCATGGCTGAGTTTTTGCATTTCTTCTAGAGATAAAGTCTCATTACATTGCCCAGGCTGCTCTTGAACTCCTGGCATCAAGTGATCCTCCCGCACTGGCCTCCCAATAAATTCTTACTGAACAGTTAAAAATGAGATGCCAAAACAGCACTACAATAATCGTGGTTATATTAGTTCTGTACATAGAAAAAAAACTGCTGCTGGTAACACTCAGACACGGAAGTATTTCTCTATTGCAGTGAGCCATGAGGGTTTCGGTAGCCAGATGTCACTGTGGTTTCTCATAAAACTGACGTGACCTTAGTGGAGGCTTGAGTCAAGATGCGGGGTTGCCTGTAACCTACAGATTGGCTTCAGACTTCAAAGGCAACCGCTTTTCTTTTTTTTTTTTTTCTGAGACAGAATCTCGCTTTGCCGTCCAGGCTGGAATACAGTAGTGTAATCTTGGCTCACCGCAACCTCTACCTCCAGGGTTCAAGTGCTTCTCCTGCCACAGCCTCCCCAGTAGCTGGGATTACAGGCACGCATCATCACGCCCAGCTATTTTTTTAATTTTTAGTACAGATAGGGTTTCACCATGTTGGCCAAGCTGTTCTCAAACTCCCGACCTCGGATGATCTGCCCATATGGCTTCCCAAAGTGCTGGGATGACAGGCATGGGCTACTACGCCCGGCCTCTTTTTTAGTTTATTATCATTTTTTTTGAGACGGAGTTTCCCTCTTGTTACCCAGGCTGGAGTGCAATGGCGCAATCTCAGCTCACCGCAACCTCCGCCTCCTGGGTTCAAGCAATTCTCCTGCCTCAGCCTCCCGAGTAGCTGGGACTACAGGCGTGTGCCACCGTGCCCAGCTAATTTTTGTATTTTAAGTAGAGACGGGGTTTCACCTTGTTGACCAGGATGGTCTCGATCTCTTGACCTCGTGATCCGCCCGCCTCAGCCTCCCAAATTGCTGGGATTACAGGCGTGAGCCACCGCGCCCGGCCTTAGTTTATTATTTTTTTAGAGGCAAGGTCTCACTCTGTAACCCAGACTGGAGTGCAGTGGTGCGATCATAGCTCACTGCAGCCTCCAACTGCCGGCTCAAGTGATCCTCCTGCCTCAGCCTCCCAAGTATGTGGGACTACAGGAACTCACCACCATGCCAATTTTTTGTAGTTTTTGTAGAGATGGGGGTCTCACTATGTTGCACAGGCTGGTCTCAAACTCCTGGGCTCCAGTCATCTTCCGCCTTGGCCTCCCAAAGGATGTCGGGATTACAGGCACGAGCCCCCGCGCTCAGCCGAGGCAACTTCTGATAATACAGTTGTGCAGTGGCGAGGTAAGGCCAGGCCTGGAGGAGCCTCCGATGATCCGTGGGTCTGAGCCCACAGTGGGTCTCCAGACAGGACCCACCTTGCAAGTCCTGGGGACCCACCCATGTTAGTGGGCAGGTATATCCATGTCTCTGTTGAAGGCCTTCAGTGCGGTGGCCTCACCCCTTGAGGTTTATATCTGGATCAGGGCTGCTCCTCCACCTGGGGCCACAATCTCTGGCTCATCGCCTTGTCAGGAGCAAGCCTACCAAGTCACGTTCTGGGCCTGAAATCCAACGACAACAAGTTAGTCAAAGTCCCGGACACCCAGTGACAAGCTCCTTGGCAGTGTGCGCTGAGGTGTTCCTCAGGCTCAGCTCAGTCCCTGTGGGTTGCAGGACCTGGCCTGGGTGGGAGGTCTTGGGGCCCTAGGACCTGGGCCACCTGGGGCTTTTTTGTTGTATAATAGAAGCAGGGTCTCTGTATGTTCCCCAGCCTGGTCCAAAATCCTGGGCTCAAGTGATCCTCTCCCTAGTCCCCCCAGAGTGCTGGGATTTCAGGCATAGGCCTCTGTGGCTGGTCAGAACCCGGGGCCCTTTTGAACATTGATTCCTCAGTAATTGTGTCAGCTCTGGCTCAGGCTGAGAAGCCCAGAGAGGGAAAGGGACCTGCTCAGAGTCACACAGGAATCGGGCCTTAAGCCTCCCCAACCACCGACTTACCTCCACCCAGAGCATTTCAGTCCCTACAGACCAGGGCCAGCAAGGGATGCAGTGCCACAGGGATCTGGCTCTGTCCCAGGCCCTGTGGGGCTGGCAGTGAGTAAGCACTCAGGCTGCCCCGCCCCAGCACAGTGCATTCATGCAGCTGGGCCCCGCCTTGTCTCCAGAGGCACCTTCCACTAGCAACAGTCTCCCCGGGCACAACACAGCTAACACAAGGCCTGGCGGGCAGGATTCTGGTACAGAAGCAGGCCCAGTGAGCATCTGAACAAGGGGCAGTCGGCCAGGGTGGGCTCGCAGGAGTCCCCACCTTGACCTCTTTCTCTTCCAGCTGCCCAGAGAGCCCAGACCCAGCATGGACGCTGTGGAAGCCACGATGGAGAAACTCCGGGCACAGTGCCTGTCCCGCGGAGCCTCGGGCATCCAGGGCCTGGCCAGGTGAGCTGTACCCTCACCTTCCTGACCTTGGTCCCCTGAGACCACTATTCCAACCGTGTCCCCTCCCCGCCAGGTTTTTCCGCCGACTGGACCGGGATGGGAGCAGATCTCTGGACGCTGATGAGTTCCGGCAGGGCCTGGCCAAACTGGGGCTGGTGCTGGACCAGGCAGAGGCAGAGGGCGTGTGCAGGAAGTGGGACCGTGATGGCAGCGGGACACTGGATCTGGAGGAGTTCCTTCGGGCACTGCGGGTAAGGCCCCACCTCGAAGCAAAGAAGGCGTGTGCCCTGGGCGTGGGGCGACAGAGGATGCTGAGATGTGGACAGGGGACTCCTCCCTAAGAGCTGCTGTTAAGAGGCACCTGCCAGGGGTCACATTCCCGGTGCCTGCACAGGGTCTTGGGGCTTTGGGTCCGCTATCCACCACCCCCAGTCACCACCTCCTGTCCCAGCCCCCCATGTCCCAGGCCCGGGAGGCAGTCATTGCTGCTGCGTTTGCCAAGCTGGACAGCAGTGGGGACGGTGTGGTGACTGTGGACGACCTCCGAGGGGTGTACAGTGGCCGAGACCACCCTAAGGTGCGCAGTGGGGAGTGGACCGAGGACAAGGTGCTGCGCCGCTTCCTGGACAACTTCGACTCCTCCGAGAAGGACGGGCAGGTGGGTAGCTGCGTGGGGGGTCCCTTCAGAGGCAGCTCCTGGCCGTGCCCGCTCACTGCCCTCTGTTCTCAGGTCACGCTGGCGGAATTCCAGGACTACTACAGCGGCGTGAGCGCCTCCATGAACACAGATGAGGAGTTTGTGGCCATGATGACCAGTGCCTGGCAGCTGTGAGCTGCTCAGGCTCAGCCCTGCTGCCCTGGCCTGTCACTCCCCACCCCTACCCAAGACTCCCCCTTTCCTGGGCCCCTACTCTCCTGGTTAGCCACACCACAGGGCAGGGAGGGGCAGGTGGGGGAATGGAGGCCACGGGAGGCCAGGTCCCTGCTGGGTGGCCAGGTGGAGGTAGGACAAAGGGGTCACTGGCACAGGGCCCCAGGGAGAAACACTCCCCACCCACCCATGCCGACATGAGGCCTTGGAGCCCCTGTGGATGCCCCTGCTGAGGCCCCCCTGACTCCCCCATCCAGCCTGCTGCTCCTCACCCCTCCCTTGGAGGTCCCCCAAGAAGCTAGGCTACCCGGGTGTGAGGAGGCCCTGCTGGAAGGCAGTTTGGACCTGCCCAGGTGTGGAGCGAGGGGCAAGGGGCATCCTAACCTCAGAAACCAAAACAAAGCCTTTTGAAAAAAAAAAAAACCTGTAAATCATCAGCCCCAAATCAGAGGATGGCAAATGGGGAATAAAGGCAGTAGTTAAGACCATACCAGTGGGTCCAGTGTCTACCTCGAGCAGCCTGAGGCTCGGAGCCCTGGGTGGGGGACAGAAGTCTGGTCGCTCCCCACAGGGGTGGGACCCGGCACCAGGGGTGGGGGGCCAAGTGTGGGTGCCGGTGGAAGGCCGGGGCTGTCGCTGGACCCCAGCACTGGTGACACTCGGGGTGGGAGCATGAGGCACCAGGCCACTGCAAGTTCTCACCAAGGGAGGTGGAGGCTGTTCCCGGCCAGGGCTTCCAGAGGCCCCTGGGGGATGCGGAGGCCAGCGTTTTAGGGAAAGTTTAATGTAGTTCCCACATACATTTCATATGACAATCTTACAGAAATGTTCCAAAACACATGGGCGTTATCTGGTTGTACTCGTCACTAGCTGGCTAAGGCTTAAAGCAGAGACATGTGACTGGGTGTCTCGGGAGAGCCTCTGGTTCTTCCCTGGCCCAGGCTTGCTGGGCGCTGTGGGCCAGGGCTCTGGCGACCTAGAGGAGTGGGCGGCACAGCTGCAGAAGGGGGCCTTCTCTTAACCCTCTGACAGTGGGGCTCGGAGATTTCCTCTGAGGTCCTGAAGAGGCCCTGTGCCCAGAGGACCTCCTCCTCGGCCTCCCCAGGTAGGTGGTGCCAGCTGGCTCTTGGCCACACTCCAGGGTCAGGTGGGCACAGGCGTCCACTCCAGTGTGCTGCGTGCTTGTGAGACTGCCTATTCTGGGACCAGCCCCCAAGCTCCTCCACCAAGACCTGGCGAGGGTCCCCCTCTGGCTCTCACAGGGGCCCCTGGCCCTGGACAGTCCTGGGGGCAGTGATGCCTGCGGCTGGAGAGGGATGGCCAACAGCGGGAAGCAGTTTGTGCCTGGTGCCTGGTGACACTGAACCACGTGACAGACAGGGATTGGGGGCGGGCAGGGAACCCTGGGAACCCTCCCAGGTCCAGTGACCTTTTCCCAGATAGGCACTCTCCAGGCCTAGGCCAGACAGGGCCCCAACTCCTCAGTAACCCCTGACTCAGCCTGGAGGAACCTGGGGTGGGAAACAAGTGGGGTCCCTGCCCCCTACCTCAGAGGCCAGAACCACAGGTGAGGGACAGACGCCTCGACAGAGCTGTGCCTGCTCAACGCTCGAGAGCATCTTAACCTACGAAACCAAAACAAAGCCTTTGAAAATAAAAAGGAAAAAGATGTAAAATACACACCCCCCAGTCAGAAAGGGGAAATGGGCAATGAAGATAGTAGTTAACAGCACGTCCAACGGGCCCAGTGTCTACACTCGTGTGAGCAGCTCCCCAGGCTGGGCGGGGGTCCCAGGCCTGTAGTCGGAGACCCCCGGGCGGAGGCAGAAGGCCAAGGGCCAGCTGCTCCCCACAAGGGCGGGGCGCTGCAGCAGGGAGGGAAGGGTGTGGGCGGCGGCAAAGCCAGGGGCTCTGGCTGGACCCAGAGGCTGGCGACACGCAGGGTGAAGGAAGGAGGTCTCCAGTCCCAGTGAGAAGCTGTGACAAGTCTTAATGTGCCATTTCAATTCAAAGAAGGGGAGGGAGGAAATGTTCTTGTTTGTTTCGCTCATCAATATGATGAGGTCTCATGTCCCAAACCACATTCAGGCAGTTTCCGAGTCTGCTTTTGAACAGGACGCGCGGGTCCAGACTGTGGCCAGCCCAGCGGGGTGTGTGTTTCCCAGCCCCGCACCTGGAAGCTGCCTGTGGGGTGGGGGCGGGCGGGCGGGCGGACAGACGGACAAAGCAGCAGCCTGGTGTGCAGCCGGGCTCCCGGCCGCTATGTGCTCCCAGTCGTCTGCCCGTCCCCTTCGTCACCAGCACCTGCAGGGAAGCAGCAGCCCTGAGTCAGGATGGAGCCTGCACTTCCCAGGTCTTGCCAGCCCCGCCAGGAGCTCAGCACTGGGTCAAGGATGGCAGGCAGCCCCTTCTATCCCCTCAGGGCAGGGACCGCCCAGCTCACCGGCTGAGGTCGCCCCTGAAGGAGCCAGGACATCGTCATCGTCGCTGTCATCCTCCTCGTTGGATGGGGCTGCTCCAGGCTCCGGGGCGGGCATCTTGGCCTCCTGCTCCTGCTCCACGCGGCTGCGTAGGGCCAGGATGCGGTGGTGCAGGGCTGCATACAGCTGACCTGTGTCCTTGGAGCTGGCCTGGGAAGGCAGGGGTCTATGAGACCCCCCAGACTCCAGTCCTACCCTCTCCTGCCTTCTACAGAACGCAAGCGCCAAGTCCCAAGGCTCAGAGGTGACAATGCCACAAGGCCTTGTGGGGAGGCCACTAACTCTGGGCCTGCCAGCCTCTCCCTGAAAAGATGCCACCACCCCCAGGTGGCTGGGAGGGTCCCAGAGGTCAGGGTTGGACTGGACTGTGATACCACAACATAGGACAGAGGTGACCGCCCCACAGGGCTGTCAATCCTGAGTCACAGCCCCTCAGCCATCCCCAGCAGCTTCTTTGGGTCAGGAAGGAGACAGGACCATGGCTGTTCCTGGAGGCCGGGACTGGTGGACACCGCCGTGCTCCTGTGTCCCAGGCAGCAACTGTGGCCTGTCCCCATCCCTACCGTCCTACCTGATTTGGGTGCCCAAGAGCCCCCGCACACAAATTAGGTAGGTGGCCGGCTCACCGAGATCAGGAAGACCTTCACGCCCTGGTCCTCGGTGTCCATGGCCGTGATGCGGATGCTCTTCTCACTGGCCTTGTCGATCTGCATCTGGGCCCATAGCTTGGTGTTGAGGATCAGTCGCAGGCTCCCCTGGGTCCGCATTACTGCAACCAACAAGGCCACTCAGCCCTGGCCCCCGCCCCGGCCACCTCCCAAACAGCCAGCTCCGAGAGCCAGTGCAGTCCAGAAGGAAAGTGACATCACCGGACAAAAGCTCATGATCCTCCCAGGACCCGCCCACAGAGCAGGACCCCTCCCCGAGGCCAGCCCTGGCACACCGCTGCCAGGTTGGGGCTCCTCCTCCTCAAACCCAGACCGCTGAAGGCCACAACTGCTGGTGGCCATACAGGCTGGTGCTGGCAATCAGGGGCCACAGGCCGCATGCAGCTTGTGGGAGGCTGTATTTGATCTATACAGGTGGGCACAGGATGGCAGTACCCTTGGAGAAGGAGTGATAAGACAGGAGCACAGGGTGGGCTGTGGGAGGCAGGGGCTGCCACTCGAGGTGTGTGTGCTTCCTGTGTGTATGTGACATCAGCCTCCGTGGAGTCTGTGCCCTCCCAAATGGCCTCCCTCGAGTGGACCAGCTCCACCCTCTGATTTTCTTGAGTAGGACTGCAGCTTAGCGTTTCCAAGGAGAGGGGACAGGAAGACCCAGGACAGCAGATTACAGAGAGAAATGGGACAGCCTTGCCTCTCTAGAAGACGTGACACCCACCCTGGCCCATCCTGTGGACTCAGCTAAGCCCCAACCTTCCTGCCGGCCACCTCTTCCCACTGGACCAGGCCTGAAGAGGGTAAAAAACTTGTCCCCCTGCCCTGGCCCAGCTAACAGATCTCCCCGAGCCCAGGTGCCCACCCCAGAGGCCTAGCGGGAGAAAGATGGGGGTGATTTTGCTTTCCCTGAAGCCGGGGAGGGCACTGCTGCCACGGGGCTACAGGCTAATGACCCCGGCAGAGGGGATGACCTAGGGGTTCAGGGCTCCATGCCCCCTCCTTTCACCCACGTTTGAACATTTCCATGAGAAAAAAGGAAAAACACAAGACGTCCACGGGGAACAAAAGAGCAGGCCCGGCCCGCAAGGACACCAGTCTGTTCTGACCAGGGCAGTGTTTCCGAGTCAAGGTGTCTGAACACCACCCTTGAAGAGGGCCACCTGAGTGTCTGCTGTGCCTGAAACCCACGTTTATGATAAAAGGATGATTCTGGTGCAGTGGCTCACACCTATAATTCCAGGGCTTTGGGAGGCCGGGGTGGGAGGACTGTTTGAGGCCAGGAGCTCAAGACCAGCCTGGGCAACATAGGGAGACCCCAAGACAAAAATAAAAAAAATTAGCCAGACATGGTGGTGTACATCTGTAGTCCCAGCTACTCAGGAGGCTGAGCCCAGGAATTTGAGGCCACTGCACTCCAGCCTGGGTGATGGAGTGAAACCACCTTTAGAAGAAAAAAAAGACATGCCCACATTTGAAATGTGCACACACACAGGCTGATTTTCCTAAGTGGCTGTGTATGCAGGTACTCCAAGCTCAATGTCCACCAATAGGGAAAAGCCTATTGACTATCAGTGGAATATTAAAATAGAACTTTTTCATAAAACGATATTATTTTATTTTTATTTTTGAGATGGAGTTTTGATCTGTTACCCAGGCTGGAGTACAGTGGCGTGATCTCAGCTCACTGAAACCTCCACCTCCCAGGTTCAAGCAATTCTCCTGCCTCAGCCTCCTGAGTAGCTGGGATTACAGACGTGTGTCACCATGCCTGGCTAATTTTTGTATTTTTAGTAGAGACGGGGTTTCACCATGTCAGCCAGGCTGGTATTAAACTCCTGACTTCGGCTGATCCACCTGCCTCGGCCTCCAAAAGTGCTGGGATGACAGGCGTGAGCCACTGCAGTTTATCAAGAGATTAGACTTGAGGTTTGACTTCTTTTTCCTTTCTATCATAAACCTGCCACTTTTACTGTCAGAAAATCAGTCTAAAAACTTCCATAGACTTTTGTCTGTTGACACTAATAGGGTCGTAGACGAGCTGGCAGCTAGAGCCAGTGTGTGAGGTGGTGCTGAGGGCTGTGGGCAGGGAGTAGGTTGGGGGCAGCTCTCATGGGGGAACTGACTTTGCCCCTTGACACTCACAAGGGCCGGGTCAGGACCTCCCCCTTTATTCCCTTTGGAACTGCGCAGTCCCCAACCCTCCCCATGGGGACCCGGCCACAGCCCCTGCCCTCTGCAGCTCACCTAGTCGGGACTGTAGCGTGCCATCGTCGGTGGACGCCATGTCATTGAGTCTGAGCAGCCCCCGGCCTCTCTCCACCCAGGACTGTGAGGCCTTGTCGAAGACA